CCCATGTTTATGGCAGCACTATCAACAATAGCCAAAGTATGGAAAGAACCCAAATGTCTATCGATGGATGAATGGATAAAGACGATGTGATATATATATATATATATATATATATATATATATATATGTGTGTGTGTGTGTGTATATATATAATGGAGTATTACTGGGCAATCAAAAAGAATTAAATCTTGCCATTTGCAACTACATGGATGGAACTGGAGGGTATTATGCTATGTGAAATTAGTCAGTCAGAGAAAGACAAAAATCATATACCTCACTCATATGAGGACTTTAAGAGACAAAACAGGTGAACACAAGGGAAGGGAAGCAAAAATAATATAAAAACAGGGAGCGGGACAAAACAGAAGAGACTCATAAATATGGAGAACAAACTGAGAGTATGGGAGGGGTTGTAGGAGGGGGATGGACTAAACGGGTAAGCGGCACTAAGTATCTACTCCTGAAATCATTGTTGCTGTATATGCTAATTTGGATGTAAATTTTAAAAATAAAAAATAAAACAAGTTAATAAAAATAAACAAACAAACAAACATATATCACTTAGCATAATACCCTCCAGTTCCATCCATTTTGCTGCAAGTGGCAGGATTTCTTTTTTTTTTATTATTTTTTTTTAATGTTTTTATTTATTTTTGAGACAGAGAGAGACAGAGCGTGAGTGGGGGAGGGGCAGAGAGAGAGGGAGACACATAATCCAAAGCAGGCTCCAGGCTCCAAGCTGTCAGCACAGAGCTCAACACGGGGCTCAAACCCACAAACTGTGAGATCATGACCTAAGCTGAAGTCGGACACTCAACTGACTGAGCCACCCAGGCGCCCCCATAAGAGACTCTTAAATACAGAGACCAAACTCAGGGTTGAAGGTGGGGGTCAGAGAGGGGAAAATTGGTGAAGGGCACTTGGTGGGATGAGCGCTAGGTGTTGTATGTAAGCGATGAATCACGGGAATCTAGCCCCCAAACCAAGAGCACAGGGTATACACTGTATGTTAGCCAACTGGATAACAAATTAAATTAAAAATAAATAAATAAATAAGTAAACAAACAAACATAAAGTGGCCCCTTACATGTGGCAAAATGGAGTAGCCTTTGCCAGTGTCTATGCCAAATGGCATGGAGTGGCTATTTATCATATTTCTCACTTAGGAATAGGTTTGAGGCCTATGAGCAGTTGTTTCCACAGCACTGTGGTCTACTAATTATGTGGTACTCAGGAATTCAGTAACTTGCAGGCCTCCCTTTTCTTATATTACGCAGGGTGCAAGGGCACTTCCCAGCATCCCTTCTTCCAACCATAGGCAAGAACTCTTATACAGTATATATACAGGATGAGTTTAAACCAGGCACCACTATTCTGGTGACCAAGGTAGTTTAAAGTCAGTAAGCGCAAAAAGCAGACGTAAGTGTTGGTTAGCTACGCTGAGCCTCATTCCTCTTCTATTTATTCTGGGCCTCTGAAGACAAATGATTTTATTCAGATTTACCAGAAGGAGGAATTTGTTTTAAAAGACTAATATAGTTTAAATTAAAATCAAATTATCATCAATAAATCAATAAAATTCAGGTTAATCACCCCCCACTTTTTTTTACAACTTAGAAGAACACAAAGATACAAACCTTGAATTTTCTTCTCACTTCTGCTATTTTGTCCTCTAATTCCTCTGTTTTAAATTTGGTTAGGTGGAAAATAGCACCAAGGTGATAAGCTTGCCTGTAGAGTTGCTTAATAAATTCATCATTTTTTCCCCTTAGTTTCATCAAAGATTGGATTTCAGACTCAAACTCTGATTTTTTTCTTATACTATAAAAAACAAAGCAAAAGAATTGACAAGATTATTCCAAGAAGGTATATATTGAGGCAAATATATTTAATAGTAGTAAAAAAGGAACAAAGTCATATTTTATGTTGCCTAAAATATAAAATAACCAGAAACTTAACTAAATCTTGAATATAAAAAATATGACCCAAAATTCCATTTATTTTCCTGCTTTTCCTGTTGGCTGCTCTTAATTGTCAGGCTGTGCTCAATCTCAGAAGGATAAGTGTATCAATAAGAAAGGCAGGTACCTCAAATGCTCAGTTTTCAGAACATTCATCCCTTCCTTCTAAAACAATCCATTCTTTCTAATCTTATATAAATTCTTATTAATAATAATCAAGTATGAGCAAATCCAGTCCATGAAAAAGAAAAACAAAAGAAAACCAAAAACTAAAAGCATTCAAAAAGAAAACCCCCAGCTAAGGAAAAGAGTCAATAAAAGAAAAGAGTGAAGACATTAATATCATTTTAAGATTGGATACCAACTTTTTCAGATACACACACTGAGGCATACAATGTAAAAAGCATACATTCACAAATGAGGTAACCAAGAAACTAGCCAAAGGTATTCCACCAGATGTGCTACCTGGGCAAGGTCCACTGCGTCACAGCAGGGGTTTTTGAGTTGTACTTGTTTGTGAAAGCACCAACTTACTATTGAAGTCTATAGGTTTATAGAAAGGTACGAACTACGATTGGGAAGAAAAGACAAGAGACTGAGAACTCAACCAGTAGGAAAAGAAGAAATTTTTTTAAAATGAAATAAATGAAAATAGAAACACAACATACAAAAAGCAGTTCTAAAAGGGAAGTTGATAATAACAAATGCCTCCATTAAGAAAAAGGAAAGATTTCAAACCACATAACTTTACATCTCAAAGACCTAGAAAAATAAGAACAAACTAAGCCCAAAGTTAGGAGAAGAGAAGCAATAACAACAATCAGAACTGAAACAATTGCATTAAACCAAAAACTATAGAAGAGATCAACAACAAAAAAGCATGGTTTTTAAAACATATGTAAACAAAGCTGACAAAACTTTACACGAAAAAAAAGAAAGAGAAAACTCACATAAATAAAATCAGAAATAAAAAGGGCCACATTACAACTGACAACTTAGAAATACAAACTACTAGGAATAATTATATGCCAACAAATTGGATACCCTAGAAGAAATACATTCCTAGAAACACACAATCTGCCAAGACTGAATCATGAAAAATTAGACAATCTGAACAGGCCAAGAATGAATAGGAAAACTGAACCAGTAATCAAAAACTCCTAATTAAAAAAACACTCAACCTGATAGCTTTATTGATGAATTCTACCAAACATTTAAAGAATAATTAATGCCAATTGTTCTCAAACTCTTCTAAAAAACTGAAGAGGATGGAAAGCTTCCAAACTCAATTTAAGAGGCCAGTATTACCTTGATACCAAAGCCAGATGAAGACATTACAAGAAAAGAAAATTATAGACCAATATCCCTGATCAATATAGATGCAACAAAATATAGATCTTCAACAAAATCCTACCAATCTGAATTCAACAACAAATTAGGTTCAAATACATAAATCAATAAATGTGATACACCACTTTAGTAGAATCAAGGATAAAAATGTGATAATCTCAATAGATGCAGAAAAAGTATTTGACAAAATTCAATATCAATTCATGATAAAAACTCTCAAAAATTGTATATACAGGGAGTGTACTTTAACATAATAAAGGCCATGTATGAATAACAAGTCCACAGTTAACATCATACTCTATAAAAAGCTGAAGATTTTTCTTCTAACATGAGGAAAAAGCCAAAGGTGCCCACTCTTAACCATATCTATTCAACATAGTACTAGAAGTCTCAGAGTATTTAGGCAAGAAAAAGAAGTAAGAGGTATCCAAATCAGAAAGGAATAGCTAAAATTTTCTGGTTGCAGATGACATGATCTTATATAGAAAGAACCTTAGGGGCGCCTGGGTGGCTCAGTTGGTTGAGCGGCCGGCTTCGGCTCAGGTCATGATCTCGCGGTCCGTGAGTTCAAGCTCTGCGTCGGGCTCTGTGCTGACAGCTCAGAGCCTGGAGCCTGTTTCAGATTCTGTGTCTCCCTCTCTCTGCCCCTCCCCCATTCATGCTCTGTCTCTCTCTGTCTCAAAAATAAATAAACGTTAAAATTAAAAAAAAAAAAAGAACCTTAAAACCTCCATAAAAAAAAAAAACTATTAGAACTAATACATAAATTCAGTAAAGCTGCAGAAAACAAAATCAATATACAAAAATCTGCTGCCTTTCTATATACTAACAATGAACTATATGAAAAAATTAAAACAATCTCATTTACAATAGCATCAAAAATAATAAAATATGTAGGAATAAATTTAATCAAGGATGTGAAAGAAAGATCTATACACTGACACTAAACATAAAACATTGATGAAAGAGATTCAGGAAGACAAAGCTTTGGAAGGATATCCTGTGTTCATGGATTGGTATAATTAATAATGTTAAAATGTCTATGCTGCCCAAAGCAATCTAGAGATTCAATGCAATCTCTATGAAAATTCCAGAGGCATTTTTCACAGAGACAGAAAAAAAAAATCCTAATATTTGTATAGAGTCACAAAATGCCCCCAAAATCCAAAGCAATCTTGAGAAAAGAACAAAGCTGGAGGTATCACCCTTCCTTATTTCAAATAGTATTACAAACTATAGTAATCAAAGCAGTATGGTACTGGCATGACAAACAGACACACAAACCAGTAGAACACAATGAAGAACCCAGGAAAAAAAAAAAAAAAAAACTTTGACAAGGATGCCAACAACACACAATGGAGAAAGAATCATCTCTTCAGTAAATGGTGTTGGGAAAACTGGATAGCTACATGCAAAAGAATGAAACTGGACCCTTATCTTACACCGCTGACAAAAATTAAATTGAAAAGGATTAAGAAATTAAATGCAAAAGCTAAAACTATAGAACTCCCAGAAGAAACACAGCGAAAAGTCTCCTTGACATTTGTCTTGGCAATTATTTTTTGCCTTTGACACCAAAGCACAGGAAACAAAGTAAAAAATCAACAAGTGGGATAACATCGAATTAAAAACCTACTGCACAGAAAAAAAATCAACAAATTGAAAAGGCAACCTACTTAATGAAAGAAAATATATTTCAAACCATATGTGGTAAGACATTAATATCCCAAATATATAAGGAAATTATATAGCTCAGTAGGTAAAATCTAAAATACTCAACTAAAGAATGGGCAAAGGACCTGAACAGATATTTTTCCCAAAGACATAAAAATGGCAACTACGTGCAAAAGATGCTCAACATCACTATCTCCAAGGAAATGCAATTCAAAAACGTAATGAGATACCACCTCCCATCAGTTAGGATGGCTTTTATCAAAAAGACAGAAAATGCTCCAAGGATGTGGAGAAAGGGAACTCTTGTATACTGTTGGTGGGAATGTAAAATGGTATACCCATTATGGGTCACAGTCTAGGGGTTCTTCAAAAAATTGAAAACAAAACTGCCATATGATCCAACATTCACTTCTACATATATAGCTGAAGAAACAAAATCACAAAATCAATTTCTGGAAGAGATATCTGCACTCCTATGTTCATTGCAGCATGATTCATTATAGCCAGTATATGGAAACAAACTATCAATGGATAAATAAAGAAATTTCCACGTATATACGGGATACTATTCAGTTACAAGGAACAATGAATGAATCCCGTCATTTGCAACAAGATGGATGGACTTACAGGACAGTTATGTCCAGTGATATAAGCCAGACAGAGAAAGATAAATGCTATGTAATCTCACTTACATGTGGAATCTGAAATAATTAACAACAAAAATGAATTCAGAAAAACAGTGGAATGATGTTTAACAAGGGCTGAGTGGTATTGGAAATGGGAAGGACAGTGGTCAAGGTGTAAGCCTTCAGTTGTAAGATAAATAATCTCTGAGGACCTACTGTATAATATGGCAACTACAGTTAATAATATTGTGTTGCTTACTTGAAATGTGCTAAGTGTACAGACCTTAATCATATTCACCACAAGAGAATAACACAGTAATGACAGAAAATGATTGATGGGTGGTAATTATACCACAAAGTGCATGTATATCAAATCATCACATTTTACACCTCAAATATATAGAATTATGTCTAACATGTTTCAATAAAGCTGAAATTTTTTTTTAAAAATAGAGAGGAAGGGGGGGCGCCTGGGTGGCGCAGTCGGTTAAGCGTCCGACTTCAGCCAGGTCACGATCTCGCGGTCCGTGAGTTCAAGCCCCACGTCAGGCTCTGGGCGGATGGCTCAGAGCCTGGAGCCTGTTTCTGATTCTGTGTCTCCCTCTCTCTCTGCCCCTCCCCTCTTCATGCTCTGTCTCTCTCTGTCCCAAAAAAAATAAATAAACGTTAAAAAAAATTAAAAAAAAAAATAGAGAGGAAGGGGAGCCTGGGTGGCTGGGTCAGTTGAGCGTCTGACTTCAGCTTGGGTCATGATCCCACAGTTGTGAGTTTGAGCCCCGCATCAGGCTCTTTGCTGTCAGTGCAGAGCCTGCTTCAAATCCTCTGTCCCTCTCTCTCTCTTCCTCTACCCTATTCATGCACGCTCTCTCAAAAATAAATAAACAAAAAAATAGAAAGGAAGTATATATAACAAAATTATATATGAAAAATTTCCAGTACTAAAAGCCAACATGGGTCACTAAAATGAAAAGTCTTACATAATGTTAAACTAGATATATTAAACGCAGAGAAGTACACACACCCCCAGACATGGAATTGTAAAGTTTCAGTACTCTGAAATGGGAAGAGAAAATTCATAAGTTTTCCAAGAGAAAAAACAGATTACCTACATGAAATGATACCCAAATGCCATCAGATATTATTATCAAGCAAAACTCAATAAATGGTTGATAAATTTAGAGATCTAATGTATGAGATGGTGACTACGTAA